CTTTAAAAAGAAGGAAAAGAAAAAGAAAAATATTCCAGAAAAAGAAAACTCTACACCGATGAAATAATTAATATGATAGTAATAATATACAAAAAATGAATAATTCTATTTATTAAAATTACTTCGAATAAAAAAAATAGTTGAAAAATAATTACAAACAACAATATATAAATTGCAAACTTAGTTGAAAAATTAATATAAACTTTAATTTAAAAAAAAAATAAAGAAAGATCCTTTAGAAAAATCTTTCTTTAATATCCTTGATAACATTTAAATTTCAAAAATAAGAAAAGAGGAAAAGTAAGAAAATAAATCCAAAATTAAAACAAATCAATAATTTTACAAATAGAAAAAAAGAAAAGAAAAGAAATAAGAAAATAAATCCAAGATAAAAAAAAAATCGTGTTTATTTTCAATAAACCTGCACCAAGGCCAATATGGAATCACATAATTTTTTTTACCACAATCTCTGGTTAAACGACGTTCCCGTGGCGCGAGATTAAAACCTGGTCAGGAACGAATCCCGTAATTCTCAATTAGAGATCCCTTCGAATTTAATCAAAGCTCCGACCGTAAGTAAGCGAGAAAGATCACGAGATCCTCAAGATTGTAGCCGTCAACACAGATTACGAAATATCCATGAAATATCGCGTGTTCGTTTTCTAATTATTGCACGCGTTTCGAAATACGATTGAACAATGAAAGCGTTTTAACGAGCACCGTTTATACCCTTCACTAATCGTGAAAAAATCGAAAATACGCGTCGCTTTTTTAACAACTGGCGCGGAACGTGCTTCGCCATCGATATACAATAAAGAGCACAAGTGAACCAATACTGAGATGAAAAATTGCCGATTATTTTAAAGCGTAAAAAATTTCACGATCCTAAATTTGTTTTCTTCAAAGATGTTTCCATATCGAATGTTTTTCTACTGAAAATTTTGACATATTTTACCAATTATGAGGATATTGAAATATTTTTACATATATTTGTGTAAATTAATTTATTATTTTAAATTATATAAAATCGAGAATAAGATTAAAATAAATGAAAACAAATTTGATAAAATATATCTCAAAAAAGAAAAATGTTATATTTTTTAACAATTGATCGATGAAAAATATTTTAATATGAACAGTAAAATTTTAATTGCAAAATAGTGACGAGATTTTTCTTTTAAATGAACTATATATAATAGAAAGAAATATTATATATTCTAATATTAATCTGATATGATATATATATTTATATATATTTCTTTTAATTTGAAAAAAAAGAGGAAAAAGTAAAATAGAAAATGGAGAAATAGAAAAACGAATAAGAAGAGGATTGAATAAGAAGATGAAATTCTGCTGACAATAATCATAGCTGTTTTGAGAAAATCGATTTACCATCGATATAAATTTTCAATCTACATATCTGGAAATCTGAGAGAAATAATTTGAAAAAAATAAGAGGGAAAAGAAGGAAATAGGAATGGAGGAATAAGAAGATGACGTTCTGTGAGAATAATCGTCAGTGTTTTAAGGGCTACGCGAAAATGCATTTCTCCTTCAGTCTTTACGATCGACATAAATATTCAACCTACACGTGGAATTTAAGGAGGAATTTAAGAGAAAGTAATTCAAGAGGAAACAGAGAAAAATAGAAATGAAGGAATTGCGAGAAATGAAACGGTGGAATAGAGCAATAAAAATATAATTTTACATTGTAGTTAACCTTTTCATCTTGCGTATACGTGTTAAACAATATAATTAAATGATAAATAATATATCTAATCTCGATGAAACAATCCTCGAATTTTCTTTACGAAAAAATTGCAAAAGAAATATTGAAAGAAAGAATAAAAATTTCTGTCAATAATATTTTTATCATAATTATTGTAACATAATACTTAATATGATTATTCTAAACAAATGAAAAGAAACAAAGAAATCTAAAAAGAAAAGAGATAATATAAAGATACAAAATTGTATAAAAATATCAGTTCCTTTCGTATTTTTCTGATACCGAATAAAAGGAATAGAAATAAAAAAATCGCAAATAAGGATCCTCGTTCTTATGATAACAATATAAAATGCATTTCTCCCCTGCTTTTACCGGCATAAATATTCAACTTCAACCTCTAAAAATTGAAAGAGAGAAAAGGAATAGAAAAAGGAAAAAAATGTAGTATGAAGATGATGCTTTATAAAAGTACATCACTTTCTAATGATAGCACATTTTTCCTGCACACTTTATCGATATAAATATTCAATCTACTATCTAATTTTCGCAAATTCAAAAAGAAAAGCATTGTAAGAGTTTAAACGTACTAATATTTCTCATTGTTACCTATCAGTTCTTGATAGAAAACAATATTTTCTGATAATTCGAATAAAAAGATATTCCTTATATCGACAGAGATAGAAATACATACAATAATTATTGTAAACAATAAATATTGTAGTTACATTCTTATTCAAATATAGAATTTTTAATATCCTTAATATTTTTAACAAAGTATCAATAAATTCGATATTTTATGACGATTTTATGACACTTCAAATTGTAAATATTTTTAATACATTGTATATACTTTTCTTACCGTACAAAATGTCAAGTTGTAACTTTCTTTCTTAACTTCTGCCAATTTTTTATAACTTACCTATCTATAACTTCGAAGTACATATTACACACCATATCTCTATATTATCCCTGTATAATATTCTTAAAAAAAATTCGAAGAGAAAAAATAGAAAGAGAAAATGACGAAAATATTCGCCTCCGTTCAATGGCCATGCAAAACGCATACACGTATTTTACAACCTGACATAAATATCCCATCTATTTTTTTACAAATCTAAAAAATATTCCCCCTCAAAAATTTTACACGAAACAAACTTTTCTCGCACATACAGAAACGTATTGCTCAATAAAATAATAATTCTTCAAATTTCGATTCGAAACTGAATATTCAATTTGTTTTTCATCATAACCCAACATTATAAGTAGACTACAAATATTCATGAAGGAATTAAATCTATCCAGACACGTGTTACTCCAATATATCAAATAGTAGAATTACCATTCTACTTTGAATCGTTATACGTCCCATACATATTTTTGCATATATGCAAAATCATTCTGCAAATTATAACAAATATATTATTTCCTTCAAAATCATCCTAACTTTTGTTCCAACTTCGAAACAATTAGAATGTTCAAAAGCCAGATATACAAAATATAAAATGCAAAATATAAAAGAATAAAGATAAAAAAAATAACATCTGGAAGTGGCGCACAATCAGAGATCCTACCTCCGAGAAAGCGTGAGCACGTCGAGAGGCGGCAACGTCATCCCGTCGCTGGAATCCTTCGTCGTGGCGACGAGTCCTTTTTCCCATCACACTCGTCGCACACCTCCGTGTCACATGTCACACGAATACACCACCAACGAACATCCTCGAGCTAACGAGCGCGCACCACCGATCGAACAAAAATCTCTGATCATCGAAGATTCAATTGGATTCACCCAGTCCAAGATCACAGATCACCCCTCGAACAAACGATATCCAAAAGAAATCTGCTGGTGCACGCACACAAGTGTGTCTGGCCGGCTTTCAACTAATATCCGCCGCACCACACCGCCACAAGTGGTTGGTGCCCTGTCAGACACTCAGGGTCAAATGCGGCGATTCTAAGGGCGAGGAATCGTTGCGACGGATTTTTATGTACACGGGAACGTTTATCAAGGATCGATCGATCCTTCGATCACAGTTCGAAGGGCACCACCCATCGTTCCAATCGTGAAAAATCGAACCCTCCTCTCTCAAGCAACCGAAACAATTGGATTAAAATTATTATGAACTGCACGCTGAATAAACTCGTCGTTCGAGTAAACACAAACAGGTGATCGTCGACAGGAGGACTTTGGTTTGTCAACACGAGATACCTCCTAATGGAAACACTTTGTTTTTCTCGGATTCGAGTCTTGGTCGATCCTCTTGATATTCGTCAGATATCTGAGAATCGATGTCCCAGACAGAATGGTATATGTGTATGTGTATGTGTGTGTGTGCTATTGTTCGATCGTCGATCAGGGCAACAATCGGATCCACGATCACCCGAGTTCACTTCACGATTCCACGATTCCACGATTCTAGTCGCATTGCTGTTGATATTTCTGTTTGAGGGGGAGGAAGGATATTCTCGTCGTCTCGCTGTCGAGGATACGATGGACGTGCAACGATGTACGAAGGGGTTTTGAAAAGAGCACGCACACGTTCAGAGTTAGCAGCTCATCGAGGCTGGTTTTCCTCTTCGGCTGGCTATCGACTGCCATGCACCCAGTGTCACATTGTCGGAACTAGGGGAGCTGACACCACGCCTGCGTTCACGGAGACGCTGCACGGCGTCGCGAAGCCGGCTGGCCACGGCGAACGCCGTTGCCAGGGCGCATGCCATCGTTCGATTCGATTATGGTCGAGAGATATCCACTGGCCGCGAAATTCGATTGGAATTTGTGGAGGAGGGGGTTTAATTGATCTCTCGAATTAGGTTCGTTGTACTGTGTTTTTGGGAGATAGTGATCAAGGATGAATTTTGTAGATTTAGATTTTGGATAGATTGGATTTATGTTATTTCGAAAAATTGATTGATGAAAGTATCGAAGAGATATTTGGATCAATTGACGAAGGAGGATCGCCATGCGTAATTGTAATAAAAAAATCTTATGTCTATTGAAGAATGATTGTCTATGACTATACAATGAGATAATATTATATTTACAATGAGAGATAGGAAATTTGGAAGGAATTTAAGACAAAGAGATTGTGTATTTTACTTTTTGATAAGATTTACGTAAAAATATAATCCTCGTGTATATAATTAATAATTTATTCTTTTTGTTTAAAAAAATAAAATTCTTAGAAAAATAAATTTAGCAATATCTTTGGAAAAAATTCCTTCTTTGAAATGTCTCGTCTATGATAAATGATGAATGAAATTTATCACTTACCAGTCTGAGTGCTGCTATCGAAAAACGTGTTCGATATCTCGACAGACATGGTAGCGAATGTTCCATCGGTGATTTGTGTGGAACTGTCTCTTCGTCCTTGATATCTCTGAACCTAATGCACACCAAAAAGAAAAAAAAATATATTAAAAAAAATAACTATCCAAAATAATTCGAAATATTTTCTTGAATTTTTAAACGAAAATTGTCATTTTGCTTTTTTTTTTTTAAATTAAAGTTTTTTAAATTAAAGTGCTTCTTTAAATTAAAATATAAAAATTAAAAAAAAAAACGGACCAGTTTTTCACTTTGAGAACTTTGTCTTCGAAAATTTCGACATCTTATTGTTTCTTCCGTGGTGCTCTGTCGTCTAAATCCACGAGCAATAAATATCTCGTCCGTGGTCGATTGTCTTCTTCCTATAGGAGCATGAGGTATAGTCCCTGGAGCACGAGCACATGGACTTGGATCCCTTGACGAACAAGAAGAACTATCCGGTGATCTAGAAAACAAAAATTTTGGTTAGATTAGTAAAATTTCTAAATCAAAAACAGATGATTTTGAAAAACTATTTTCTGTTCAATATTTTTCAATAAAGAAATTATAATGTATATTAATAACTCTGAAGAAAAATAAAATATATAAAAAAAGGAATTTTTTGCATTATATTATTTTATAATCCAACAATAATTTATCAATTCCAAAATCTTAAATCAAAAATCCATCTATAAATCATATGAAATAAACGTTAAAAAAATACTTTTAACAATAATCCAATTGTTCTGTAGTAAAGTAAACAACGAAATAAAAAAGGGAACAGAATATCAAAGCAGTCGATCATTTTTTATCTTCAGAAGATCTTCAAAGTTTTCCATAAAAAAGGGGTTGAAATTTTATTCTCAATCCCTTAATCTGTCCTCTATCGATGGAGTTGCGTTACCATCCGTTTACCACTCCACGAAGATCGATAAAATGCAGGTACCTTGGTGGCGACCGTCCTGCCATCGACATTGACTGTCGCGTCAGCTGAGATCTCTCCCTGATAGGACTGATGTCTCTTTTATCGACTGCTCTTTCTGGACTCAGATGGCTCTTCGAATCACGGCGCCGCGGGTATGAAGCGGAATCGGGGCTCAACGAATCTTTTCGAGCTCTTCGTCCTTCGAAAATATATATTTCTGTCATTAATTCAATAATATATGACAATTTTACATAGAAAAAGAAAGAAAAAAAGAAAAGAAAAAGAAGAAGGTAAGGAAGAAAATTATGAACGATAGAATAATGCAAGTTATCGACAACAGGAAGTGGAGAAAGAAGAAAGACGTGTTTCATGGTTTTTCTATTTTCTTTTTAAATGATCACATCGTGCAGAAACAGATATAGGTACTGTTACTGTTAAAAGACTAAATAGTTAGTAGATAACGTGTATTTATATTTAATGTTACATAAAATAGTTTTATTCGCAACGAGGATGAAAATGGTCGATAATGGTAGATTGTTAATGATTGTACCTCCTTCGTCAGTATCCGGTGACAACGTCGGCTGACTTCCTCGTCGCCGTGCTGGTGGCATCGACTCATCTATGGCTGCCGATTGTCGTATCAATCTCGACAACTTGTTCGGTGATACTTCCTTTCCCTTCTGATAACACTGTAACAGAATTGATAATGATAAAATGTTTCCAGTGTCTATTTATTATTATTATTATAATAATATAATATAATAATAATATAATTAATAATGTAATTGAATTATTTAAGTCTCTTCATAATTATAACGAGAGAGATTTCGAAAAATGTCAAATATAAATGTCAAATATATTACAATTACGATATATTTATACATAATGTAGTTATTCAAATTTAGAAAAATTATTGAAATGAGACATAACCAAGACAAAGAATTATAAGCTAATAGTTTTGATTAAAAATGAAAATAACATAAAATAACATAATTAATACTTTAATTTGCATCAATTTAAATTATATAATAAACAAATTGCATGATAAAAATGATATCGATTAAACTTACCAATTATAATTAATATAACTATAAAAATAGTTTCTCGCTGACATAATTACTGACACAAATTGTATAATTAAATAATGACGAAGAAATTAATATGTTAATGATACTTATTACTCATATTAAATAATTTTACACAAATTAATTATAAAACTTCTACCATTTTACTACCCTTTTTCACCAGTTCCAATCACTCCACAATCAACGTTCACACTAAGTTAACACTAATCCTTGAAATCCTTTCTCGATTCTCTCTCGAATAAAATCTTTCAATATATATATCTCACCTGAGTAGTCGAGTCTCTTCTAGTGCTAATCAATGGGTGGGTCGGTGTGTTGACGTTTGGCGAGCCAACGGGACTGGAGCTACCGGAAGTCGAGGTTCCTGGAAGAGGAAGGCTGCTACCCACCGTTGGAGAGACGCTTGGTGGCGTCACTGATGACATCACGATGGTAGGGGTAGTGATGGACGACTCGAGGGTTAAATTTTTACTGTCGACGACGGT